TCCATCCCTGCCGTACTCTTCGTCCACAGCAGCGTGAACGTTCAAGTACTCTGGTTCATTTTCTTTGCAGATTTCACCAGCTCATTCATTTGGTTCTCAGGGGAGATTTTTAGCCCCGTGATGATTTAAATACTATTTTTGGAGTCTATGTTTGGTCAGATTTAAAGACACTAAACACACCTTTTCAGACTCCACTTTGACACCCAACGTTAGCACCCCATTTTTAAGGGGGACAAAAATACTCCAGCACTCTAAAAACGCTTTCAGTTGTTTGTTTGAAAAGGATGCACGTCTGTTTTGATGACATCTATAGGTACTGACTCTAAATGCACTTACTGTAGACAAAATGTCAGCAAATCAAACGCCGTCTGTATCGGTCTTTAAAACTCCTGCTGGGTATTTTAGATGTAAAACATTGCGTGGATACAGTAGTTTTTGAAAGAACTTTTTTTTTTCTCTTTTTTTTATGCTTTAAAATCAGAAACTATCTGAATAAATAACAAGAGTACACATCAGACCGGGCATTGGATTTGGCCAACATTAGGTTCAATACTATGAAAGTAGTCAAATGTTAAAGCAGTAAAATTTCCATAAAACTGAAGAAAACAGGGAATTAAACATCATAACCTAAAAAAAATATATATATATAAAAATATATATATTAAATACAGTACGCGCGTTTAGGTAACGCTACCAAAACAATCAATCTTTCTAGACCTTACTTTCCAAAAAAGATTTTTCCCCAATAATTAATAAAATCTGACGCCGACTTTTAGAACTTGCCAATTTGCAATAAACTGAGCAGTAAACACATTTCTGTCAGCCTGCAGGTTCGATACCCAGCGCAGAAACACACTGAAGTCCAGTCACTGTGCTAGGAAGATGCTCGAAGTGAACAGAAACTACAGTTCAGCAAAAAAATACGCACTATTATTAACTGCGGTCTGGACCAAAAGATGTCATTACAGGCCTTCAGAAGTTGCTCATTTGATCCAAAATCCCGTCATGCTGCTGAAAAACCAATGTGAAAGTAAAGAAAACTGCCCAACACAAGTTAACACACATTGTTTCTGCTTTTATCACAAGCCCCAGTGTTGTGTCAGTGTGGGAAATCTCATGTTACAGCCGTCTGTGGTAAACTAAATCCATAACAAGGAAATTCCTGCATTCAAAGTCCCCCAGCATTCTGTCAACTATCCTGACACACAACTGCACAAAAAGTCTTGTTTTGTTCAAAAGAGAGCGGCGGGAAAAGACCTGCAGGGTTTTGCCCGACAGGCTATAACTGGCAGAGCTTCAGAGCCGTGCCTCGCGATGCCAAATCGTCCGAGGACGAGGAAGAAAACAAAATTACAGGGAGTCCTGGGGGAGTACAGCTGGAGCGGACACACCCTCTGAAGCTGATATGGTGGCTCGTCTTCCTGCTGAAGAATGTTTTCTCACCGCCGCCGTTGGTCCGTCACTCAATTTGTTCTCAAAAGACCAAAGCTCTGACTTTCTTTTTCCTCTTTTAGCTCGCGGCGCACCGCATCTATTACTGTGCTGGAATTAAATTAAAAACAAGACAAAGCAATCTGTGGTCACCATAATAAAACGAGCTGTCTCCGTAGTGAAGTTCCACCGGAAAAGACACACATCGGGATAAATCCAGGAGCTTTTTTACAACAACACACAAAAAAAATGGGCCACTTTATCGAGAAGAACGAGTTCAACTTTAAAAAGGGGACAGATGTGGAGCCCCACGCAGGCCAGCAGAGATTAAAACAAGCTTTGTTCCCATGAATAAGTTGGAAGGGGAGGAAAATCAATACCTCCAACCTTTTATTGATCAACTTACAACAACTGCTTTGCATTCCTCCTCCTGCCTCAAAGCCTCGCTGCAAAGTTCTGCAAACACATCTGAATGATCTTACATAAAATTAAAAAAAACCTGCCTCTGCATCACATCTGGCCCAAAGCAACCTGCCTTCCAATGCACCACGTACGATGCTCTTAATGTGACATTAAAAGTTGTCTTACAAACATGCAGCAACAATAAAAAGCCATAATGTCAGTGCCAAAAGCACTGACATTATGGCCTCTGCTGAGTGCTCACAAGTCCATAATGCAGTGGAGCAACCCCAGTGGGGGCTTAAACTGGGTTTGTGGTATTAAATGGTGTGTTTAATGACCTTATGGGATGTAAAGCACTGCTATGTTACTATAATATTGACGGACTTATAGTTTCACTGTGGCTCAATGACCTAGTTGCCCACACTTCCTATATGGTTCTACATTTTAAGGCAGTGTCAGCATCAATTAAAGCGAAGAAAGTGCACTAACTTTATTGTTGGGGCCTTCAAAATAAAGCATTTAAACACACACACACACAGGCCTCCCCATCAGGAGTGAGTGGAAGCTGTGTCATAATATATAATATGTTTAAAGTAGACACACCCTCTGTGTAAACGGAATAAAATGTGTGAACAGATACCAGCTGAATAAATGCCCACACAGTCGTAAACAAAACCAAAAAAAAAACTAACCACAAAAAACATCCAAACTACAGCTCCAAGCTTTCAGGCGGAGAGAGAGCTTCTTTTCATAACCGAGCCCAGTTTCTTTATCCACATTTCCTGTCCCAACACAACCATTCAATCCCGAGCTTTCCTCGACAAAAGGGAGCTTGAAGATAACCGCGGTGAAGGGCGGCCAACTCACACTTACCTGCACATAATTGTTCTCGCAGTAGTCTGCTACTCTGGTGAGGTTCTGGTAACTCTCTACAAGCGCTCTTTTACCGGCCGGAATCTCTTCCTCTAACAGCATTTGTAGCTCTGCCATCTTACATCTCTCCGCAGAGCCTCCCTTCCCCTCTGCCGTTTTCCCTTTGATTGAAGCAGCCACCAGACCAGCTCTGCCTCGAGAAAA